GCCAAATTCTATAGCTGCAGTCGCTTCCAATTGGTAGCCCGCACCAATGCTTTTATCAACTGGAAAGTGTTTGTTACAGACAAAAGAAAGGTACCAAAAGACGTTTCTAAAGAAAGTACAAAATAATCTGCCCTCTGAGGTATAGAGTACTGCAGAAGTTAAAGGAATTGCAATCATTTTGATTTTAAAAAAAAAGTTTTGAGGCCACTATCGTTTCAGTCAGCATTTCTGTATAGTGCTTGCAAATTTGCATTTTTTTTCTCTTTCTTACAGGATAGGGATTTTGGGGCCTCACCGCAAACAGAATGTGATAAGTGTAGAACGTAAAACAATACAGCAAGCTTATCTGTCTCATTGTTGTCGCGGATAGAGCAAACATTTTGGTGCAACAAACAAGAGCAACGAGTCCTATTTGTTGTACTGACTGAAACGTGCCTTTTTAGGGGTAAAGTATGTGACGATGAAATATTTACTTGTAATAAACTGCACAATGTTTATTGTTATGAGAACCACGATGTAGTGTAGGCTTTCTAGTTGCTACTTACGTACAATCTTCTCTTGTTAACATTGTGTGTAGCTTAGAAATAGTATGCAGACGTGTTCAAATGAGTCACAAAAACATTGTTATTTGTGCATGCTACCACCCTCCTAGCTTTACTTTGAATTTTATTGAGATGTTTACTTTTTGTTGAGCTGCTGTTCTGTCTGTAGAACAGCGTTGTGAAGCATTACACCCACAGTGAACTGTGAAACACAATGCACATTCTATGCTCCTCAACTTTATCCGTAGGATCAAGGCATTTCATTTTTCACAGTAGGCCCAATGATCAATTAATCTGATTAACTGATTCCATCTACATATAGAAGATTGTGATTCTTTTGGTTAACATTTCAATCAACCCTAACCAAATTCGTACAACAGCTACTTGATACTGGCATACTATTCTAGGGTGTAATCAACAAGGAGTGGGTTGGCTATACCTAGGTTTCAGGGTGTTCGGTTTAAACAGAAAAACACAAATAAAAAGTATACCAACCGAATTCACTTTTCGAAATTCGGTTTTAGCCGAAAAAGTTCTGTATTCTTGACTATTAGTTGTCTTGAAAAGGAGAGAGGAGGAATTTGTCAGTGACTCATTACTGGCCTTGTGACCACTTATTTATCACAATTACTTCGGGATCACTTTTTGTTAAGCTGAAAAAGGTTGGAGCATTCTACAAAAAATCTGGAGTTGTGGTTCGTCTCGTGTGTAAGGAAAGATCTGCATTTGTTTTGTGACGGCATTTTGTTTGCCAAGTTACCTGGTCTACAGTGATTGGAGCTTGCATGTGGGCTATCTTTATTTGCTCTGTCTCCCCTCCATGTACTCGAGAGGGCACACAGAAAAACCCTAAATCGTCCTTTCAACTCCTTTTCCCAAGCTTTTCTCTGGCTGAGGAGGGTATACATACAACTGAGTTAGTGCCGTCTGTTGGCGCCGCAAACTAACCGGTCCTGGCGGCGGTGAAAACAGAAAGGACGAAACGAGTGCCAAAAACTATGCTTGCAAATCTCGTGATTTTTAGAGTGTGACCTTCCCAAAGAAGTACTAGCAAAGATAATGGTTGCCCTGTGCACGCACATGGCCGCAGTGCGCCTTAGAGAGCATGTCACGTCTGCACATCCCAGAAACTGAAAGAAGTACACTCTGAAGCTCTTCAATGTAACTGTTATTTTATTTAAATGTTAATATCGCCAAAAAAGGCTGTACCAAAAAGGAAGACTGTGTGTTGAGTTTGTACTTAGATATGCACACCTCACATCTAATTACAAACTTTGTGGCATACATATTTGACAAATAAATGATAAATGGTTTTCTATTCACTCTTGTCATTTTGCTCCATGCCTGTTAAATTAGTAATAGCCCAGCGCTAGAAAAGAGAAGACAAAAATCATTATGTCCGCCGAAACAAAAAAAAAAAAAAAACGTGAAATTAATTTTAATAAATCATCATCATGACAAAAAAAAAAAAAAAAACTAATTTTTGTTTTTGAGTAAATGTATAAAAAATAAGGCGAATCGGAAATAATTTAAAAACTGAAACCTCTAGAAACTAGCTATACTGTACTTCTATAAATTTATACTCACTGACCCTCGAACTCCTCAATGTAGAAGTCAACATTGCACTGAATTTTATCTTGGAGTGCTTTGGGAAAGGCTTGGATGTGGTTACAAGTTTATACATTTCAACAGTAACCTAAACAAACAAGAAACAACATTAAACAATGCCAAATTTACATGCGTCATGCCTGTTGTCCTTAAAGGATCCGTCCAGTTGGCATATTATACCAACGCATCAAAGCCTGGTACTTCAGGACGTGCAGCCGCTTGTGTCCGGAAAATGATTGCCTTTGGTATTTTGATGGACGGCATATGGGGTGTGCCGTGCTGTGCAAAAAGCCCCAACAGTTGTCCAAGGGGGCTCCTTTGTCGTGGACTGCCTAATAAGGACAACATATATTACTCTCAGTACTGTCAGGTTCCAACGTCTCTTAAAAAAACTTGATTTAAGACGCCCGTAAATCGTGGTTGCTCATTCCACCGGCTGCTCCAGCTATCTGCACTGACACGTAGACACCTGTTGGTACGGTGTCTACTGCCTTCCGTTTCCCAGACAACTCGCTTGCATATTCCCGGGCTCTTTGCAGCGAAAACAGCAAGGTCGGCCCCGGCGTGCACCCGTGGGACACTGGCGTGACATGTGCCCCACGTTCACACCGGTGACACTGCAGCTGGCGATCATGGCTGTTTTTCTGGGGCAGGGCCTGCTGTCGTATTGGGTTCCCGAATCCGACGTAGAACGGTGCTATGCTGTGCGCCGCGACAGCACCGAGTTGGTTCTTGTAGCAGGAAGGTTGCAGGGCCGGATGCAGGCACCAGGGGTACGCGTTTGGAGCAACGAGGATGGGCGTGGTCGAGGCCGCTATACTCTGATCCGTCCCCGGAACTGGACGAGTCCCTGGCGTCGCTGTTCGTGTTTGGAAAGCCAAATTTCGGGCCACTTGGTTTGAAAGTTGGGGAGGGTGTACATTATGGAGATGTCACCACACGCACTCCATTAATTCATCGGCAGCATTTGGCGAGTTTCTTGAGCGTGGCGAAGGTCCTTCCTTCAACAAGATCCCGGAACTGCGGGAGCATCTGTCGGGGTACCCTCTCCATCTTCTGTGCATCTGTTGCAGACTAACAGCCTCTTCTCCCTTGACTCCTGGCGGCGATGCTGATGGACGCATGAACCCGGTCTTCCTGAAGCAATTGCTCAAAGTCGACCTCCTTAGCTCCATCCAGGCTTTCTTCAGCATCTGTAGAGTCATCCATAAGTTAATTTGTAGCTTGAGGTTCCCAGGAAGCGGGCAACGGATCATAATCAGGAGCTGCTGGATCAGGGACCCAAGTAGCACAAAATGTGGCTACAACGTTACTGGAATGTTGTCAGGTAACGTTGCCGAACGCTGCTAACGACCGCGGATTCTACACTCCAGTAACGTTACAGCACAATGTTACAGTAACGTAACTGCATACGTTACCTGGACATTACCCAAATAATGTTACTGGAACGTTGTTAGATAACGTTGCCAAACGTTGCTAATGGCCACCAGTTTTACCTTCCAGTAACGTCACATCAAAACGTTGCAGTAACATAGCTCTCTATGTTACCTGGATGCTAGATCAGTGATGTTACTTGGACGTCGTCGCTAACGTTGATAGTTGTTGTTAATGGCCACGAATTCTACCATCCAGTAATGTTACACCAAAATGTTGCACTGACATTACGGCTTACTTAAAAGTGAAGGAATAAAAATGTGAAGAACATACACAAACGACCACTCTTTCATTTCGCAACAATGTTTATTTTTTGAGGAGCAAAGAGTCGCATACAGGTCGAGATAAACTAGATACCGAAGGTGGAGTGTTACTGACTCATCCCTTATCTCCCTAAAGTTCCTTTGATCAAGCCTTCCTTTTGCAGTTAATCTTGACCTGTGCGCGAGTCTTTGCTTCCAAAAAACGAGCGTCGTAACTAAATGAAAGAGCGGTCATCTGTTTTTCCTCAGTGCTTTTGTTCTGTTAACTTTCAGTAAACATTTTTACAATATGCTGGCACTGGCCAGATATTACTGCACGTGTTACTTGGACAGTACTGAACAATGTTATCCGAAAATACATTGACAAGCGCTGCCAGGAAACTGCATTTATGGTTGTCATGAAGTCATTTTTTGAGCTGGTGCCTGATATGAGTAAATGGATGTGCATTACAGGCCATTAATGAATCAGCATTTTGAAATCCTAGAAGCAGGACTCCGGAAGAAAACAAGAAGTTATTGGAATAAATTTATTTCAAAAACGAAACCAACATTACAAGTACCAGAGAATTCTTCTGTTTCTTACAAGCTATTAGATCTACAAAATTGTAAAGAACACACTAAATTACAAGGCTGATCTGCATAAAAATAAAAATGTAAAATATTAAAACTCCCAGCAACATAAAGCAAGTAGCCTAAAATAAAATTCTAAATATATCTCAAATTACACCCGATCTTGGGCTAGGACATTTAAATAAATAACGGACGCAATAAACCAAAAATGACTAGAAAAATAACATAAATTTTAAATCTTCTGAAAATACCACACTAATGTGTACATAAATTAAATAAAACAAACCACTAGCTGGGGCTAAAATGTATGCATGAATAGAAATTAAAGGTAACATATGCATATTACAAATTGACATAAAAAATTCAAACAACAGGGACTCTACTCATGGGATGGCTGTAAAAAAAGGAGAAAGAAATCATTAGAAAAAAAAGCATTTTAAATGATTTAGGTAGCATGAATTTTTTTTTTTTCAATTCTATGCATTTAGCACGGTTAACCAATTCCATGCTTCCAACTGGGATCAAAGTAACCAACTACTAACATTTAAAACTAACAGAAAAATCAAGGCAGAAACATGCTGAAAAACAGCGCAAAATGCACGGATAAGAAAACACACAGGACAAGGCACTGTGTGTTCTTTTTCCTTTGTCTGGTTTTCGCACTGTTTTTTAACATGAATTCTTACCAACTAGCCCAGCCCAACTGTCCATCCTTGTAATCAGAAACATGCTTGCCTTCTCCCCTTGTGGCAGCCCCTCAGTCACTCCTGAGAAGGGGCACACTGCTCCTGCAAAAAAATAACACAAAAAAGTTGGTTGCATTCAGAAAATGGGTGCCTATTTCAGGGCAGAGAGTGTCATCAAGATAAAAAAAGAAATGCCTACATCTGTCCTAGCAGTTTCACCACAGTTTCTTTGCATGCACAAGCCATTCTTTTCATCCAGTTTAGACTTTTACCGCGAAGTGTGACCTACCCACAGAAGACAGTGGATATGCGACTTATTCTTTTCTGGCAAGGTAGGCGGCTGTTCTCGGCCACTCACTTTTTCCCACTTCAACCTTCTATTTATTCATGCGTGAAAGGCACTTTCTTAAGAGGGAAACAGCTATTTTCTGCAGCACCTTTTTTATTTTGTATTTGTAGATTTAACTTTGTTTTCATTTTATCCTAAGAGAATAGCTTTCTTTTTAAGAACATAGATGTTCTTCTACTAATAAATATAAATAATAAATTAACAAAGAGAGGAGACACGTCTTTTCTTTTCCCCGTATCATGGGCCACGGAGACAGATCACTGCCTCAAGGACGGCTTCGTCTTGAAGCAGAATAGGTCTCTTCAAGGACGAAGATATATATACGCTTTTGAATGGACGTGCATTCATCACTGCACCTGATGATCACAGCTTTTAAAAGTGTCGTTAGTGTTACCGTGTCTTATTGGCCTCATTAACAGAAGTCATCATTTACTAAAAACAAAAAATAGAAGGTGACAAAAAAAGGTTCATATATAAGTTTATAAGTTACAATAAATATTAAAACACTGCTATCCTCCCGGCACTAAAAAGAAAAATATTTCTACTGCTCAAATAGGCTACGTTCAATGAAACAACTTCGATGAAATGGCGTTCAATGAAACAGCGTTCGATAGAACTGCGTTCAATGAAACAGCTTCGATGAAACAATGTTCAATGAAACGGCGTTTGATGAACTGTCCGGACCCAGGGGCAATGTCAATGAGCCTCATATTTTCTACAATGTCAAGCTCATTGCAGACAATGTCATAACATGGTGTTCTTTCATTGGCTAAATAAATTTCTTAATACTTAAAACCGTAATATCCCGAGTCATCGCCCATCCCCGAGCCATCGCCCACCCCATTTTTTGGGCCAATATCGATTTCCGAAAAAACACCGAGTCATCGCCCACCCCTTCAAATACCCCAGCGCGGACTCTGCGATCCGCGAACACTCATCCTACCCGAATGACGCGGTCGCGGACCTTACAGTTGGAGGACGTCCGTGACAAAGTAAAACGAAGGAGGGAAATACACTTCTTTTTGTTTACGCATTTCCTCCGTGAGCGACCCCAAAGTGGTCGTGTATCCGTGCGAAAAGAAAACGATGGAGATAACAAAATAAGAGTTTGTTAACGTAACCGCGGAGTGTTAGGTCAAAGTCTGTCTCCGCCGAAGGTCACCGCGAACCCGCTCCTTCTTCCCGCCCGTCGCGACCGCGGTTGTGCAATATTTTAGGCAAAGCCAAAGCGTAAATAAAGCTTTGATGGAACGTCCTACACAGACGTTGGCAGAGCGTCCCAACCGTGCATTGATAGCCCGCCCTGGACGGACGCACGTATGTATGCACCAAACAAGTTGCGCAACTCAAGGCGCCCGACTTGGCCCGACGCCAAAGTATTTGCCAACGCGACCGCCGGCTTTCCCGCTTTCCCAGCATTGCTCTTGGTCGCTTCTTTGGCCCGCTCGCTCGCTTGCTCGCTCGCTCGTTGTGCCTGGTCGGTTTTTCTATTTTCTTGTAGACTTTTCTTTCTTTCTTTTTTTTACTAACTAGGAGAACATAATATTGACATTCTTTCACGGAACAAACGTTCGCGCTATATGCAGATCGGCGGTGTTTCTAGCGCGTATGCAAGCAACGGACTTCACTATAGTAAAATATTCTTTCGTGAGCATTTTTTCTATAAAACAATGAAACTAAATCGAGTTTTGAGTTTGATGTATCTCTTGTGCATCAGCGCTAGATACGCAGAGAAAAATAGGCGGTTTTTCCCGCTTTTTTTTCAAGTGTTTGTGCTCACCCACCGAGACATGGCCCACCCCACTTTTTTAACGAATTTCAGGCGGTAGGGGGGTGGGCGATGACTCGGGATATTACGGTATAAGTTTATAAGTTACAATAAATATTAGAACACTGCTATCCTCCCGGCACTAAAAAGAAAAATATTTCTACTGCTCAAATAGGCTACGTTCAATGAAACAACTTCGATGAAATGGCGTTCAATGAAACAGCGTTCGATAGAACTGCGTTCAATGAAACAGCTTCGATGAAACAATGTTCAATGAAACGGCGTTTGATGAACTGTCCGGACCCAGGGGCAATGTCAATGAGCCTCATATTTTCTACAATGTCAAGCTCATTGCAGACAATGTCATAACATGGTGTTCTTTCATTGGCTAAATAAATTTCTTAATACTTAAAAATGTCTTTATGTAAAGTAGACTAATGCCTTTGTTTGAAATCTGGGCTTGTTTTAGGATGCAAAAGTATTTTTCGGGAGTTTAAGCAAAATTAGAAATATCATATTACCATTTTCTTGGTCCTAGCTGGTGCATGCCTGACCGATTCAGCAGCAGCCCATTTGGCGTCGGCTTCCTGCACGATGATGGCTGGCTCATTGTTTTCTGCCTTCTGTTTAAAGCAGGTGCGCACAGCTCCTGTTTCAAAAGTATATAATTACAACACAATGTCAGCTACCACAGTGAAATATCGACAATTTCATGCCCTACTTCAGCATAACTTTGCAGACATCGGTAACTATGAAATCAGCCAGGGTGTCTAGCAAATTCCTCCTTTTAAGTTCCCCAGCTTTTCCAGGTTTTAAATTCCCTGTCCATTACAGAAGTTTGGAGATGTGGTACGAACTGCTACTAAACACCTCATAAGTGAACACCACTCACAATTTAAAACAATTTATTGAAATCGGTCTTTATGTTGCTCAAGAAGTCAAAGACTTACAAAGTTTCGGGCAATGGTATTTAGCACAGCCACGTCAATGCACGACTCTCCTGGCTTCGTCGCACACCACCGCATTACTCGCCCTGGCCATTTTCCCTGATTTAGCTAACTTTTTGATTATCTCCCTGACAATTCCCCGACTTTTCCAGATGATCCGAACTTTCCTGACAATTCCAGCTTTTCCAAGGTGCTAGACACCCTGTCAATGAGCCAGATAGCTCGGGAGCGAGGCATGGGACAAAACTCCACTGTAGTCAGCTTATGGGGGCTGCTGTCACATGCTTCACCAGGACACAGTTTCCTTTCATCTAAAAGAGCCAAATCCAGAAAACTGAAACCAAGCAAATTTTTGTATGAATTCAAACTATATTCGTTGGTCCATCGATCTCAAATGCTACTACAGTGAAATCGGTCAGAGTACGCTATAAAAACCACAGCAGAGGTGGCTGCGGCACATGGCTCAAAGCTATACTGATAAGCCAACATACCAATTTATCTGTTTTGCTTCATGTGGTTTTCGCCTTTTTAGAAAAAAAAAAGCTCCTCACTTGTGTGCCCTGTTTAGCTATAGCCATTTGTTGTTAAAAGGCAACTCTGCTTAATTCCAAAACTTTTGGAATTATAAGACTTCAAATAAAAATAAAAAATAAATTTAAAAAGAAATATAAAAATAACTATTTTATTTCATGCATTGGTGGAATATTTCCTATGCAATTTTGCTTTAAACATAGCCCAAATAAAACCCGAAACATTGGCTTCTACAGGCAACAATGGCAGAGACGGAGGAGACATGACCAATCCCATGGTACAAATGATGATGTGCTACCCCTGCGAGGACGACGCAAACAGACTGGCCTGAGTGTTGTCTGCTCCGTGTCGGACGACATCCGCACCACTGCAACCTACGCTAAAGCCAAGTTTTCTCAAAGGAATAAATATCTCAGGAACATTAGTATGCAGCGAGGTCTACTAAATAGTACATAAATAAGCCATTGAGTATGTGAACATTGTGCAAACAATGCCATTATTATTTAACAGAGGTGAACCATGAGAAACGTGCACATCCAGGTCTGTGCCAATCATGTGGACACCGCTGAACCAACTTTTGGAGAAGACATTGCTCAAGTCAAGGACTGACTGTGCATGGAAAAAACAAAGAAAACGTAACAATGCACCTGACATAGTAAATTGATGTTTGGTGCACTGAAGCCGTAGTAGCAACTGCGCTGTCGTTTGCGCCTACATTGTCAGCTAGGGTTAGCAGTTTGCTGATCCATTTCATAAAGATTTAAATGGAGATAATATTGGACATGTGGTTTTCCTAGATAATACTGAAGAAGCCTTTGTTTTCTCTCACTAACAAAAATGAGACAGAGTCTGCAAAATGGCGGGCCCTTGCGCGCTGCCATCTTCCAGCTCGGGTGCACCCCAGATAATCCGATTATGAAGGCTTGCTAAAGCGTCACTAAGCTAATTGACAGATTGGTACCCTGAGAGCACGTTTCCCTACCCATGGTGGCTAGACTACTTTTGGAAACATGACTGCTTGCAAACGTGTATAGCTGATTGTGTCATTCAGCTATTTGGTAATGTACCTTACACCAAAGAGTGCTCGGTGGTGTAAAACAAAATGTACCACCTTTCTTTAAGAAGTGGTCAATCCTAACGCTGCCCAAACCATTCCACATATAAAGCAGAGGACAGGTTCATAAAAAGTGCTAGGGTTAGAGTGCACAAACAGCAAGCATTCTAATGTATCCTTTGACCAGAAAGCATAGATAAATAAACAAAATAAATTAAATTGTAAAATAAAAATGACTAGTACAGCAGAATTATGCAAACATGAGGTTGCAGCAATACAAAGCAAACATATGCACCGTCAAATTAAAAATATCCACTTCACCATCCCTTAGGCTATAACTGTCCTTGTGCGAGGAAGCATACCACAACTAGCAGCTTTGTAAAATTAAAAATGACTAGATAAAAAAATGAAAGCCGTTTACAACTCCCTGTAACGCTAAATTAGAGTGCAGCTCTAGAGGAGGAGGGAAGGGTCCCAAGGAAAGGGTATACCCCTCCTCCCTGCCACACCTCCCTCTGAGCGGTGTCGCCGTAACCGTGAGGTCACGTGACCCTCCTGACGGGGGTCACGTGACCCCGCGAGGACAATTTGGCATGGTGCCGAAACGTAACCTTGCCGAAACGTCGCCGCGGTTACGGCGACACCACTCAAGCCGGAAACGGGCGCCTAAGAGCTGCGCTCTAAAAGAAACACCAAAACAGCAGGTGCTCAATAAACAATATGGATACCATTCATTATCACAATTGCGGCTAACCAAGCTGAGGCTAATCACATAAAATAAAAAGTCTAAATGCTGGAAAGCGTTAAGAAATTGCAGCAACAAAAAGCAAACATACACGTGTGCGTTTTTGCTTGGGCTCTGGTGCACGTTCTGGAAGTTGAGGGGCTGGCTGAGTGTTACGTCGTTCCTGCATAAGAGGCAAGCTTGATGAAAAAGGAGGGCAAATGAATCCCGAATACAAAGGTGTTGCAGAAATTTAGGTGCATACATCTTGGTCATAGAAGTCCTCATCCTCAAATGAAGAAAGAGTATGCTGCAGTCCCTTCCTTTTTCTCTTCTCCCGCTCTTCATTATTCAATGTTAGGTCGGACGTCGCTTCCGAATTTTTTTCTTTGTACTTTGCATCTTCATATGTCACTGAAACAAGAAAGCCGAGCACACCAGTCAAATGTTTAACCACCACAAGCTTGTATGCACCCTAAACTTTTGTTCATTAAATCAAATATGCTCGCTTTATGGTTAGACAGCTTTTAGGTTAAAGCCTGCCAACTTTTTCGGACTCATGTATATAATCTGTGAGGATTGGGACAGCTCAGGTTTATATTAAAGAAAACAAAAATTTTGTCGGGCTCGTGCTGGGCTCAAGCTTCTGTCTAAAATTCTGTCGGGTCCGGGCCGGGCCCGAGCCGTGTCTCTTCAAGGCCAAGTCTGGCCGGGCCCGGAAATTAAATATTCTATTAGGCTCGGGCCAAACCCGGGCCGTGCCTCTACTGGGCCGGGTCTAGAAATTCTGGCTCGTGCAGCGCTCTAGCACACTCTACATTGGGCGAGCAGAGTCCGCGCTCCGCTCTAAGCAGAATTTATTGCCTATTTCTCTGCCCCAAGGTTCTCAACTCTTTGCTCAGGGCACTCAATGGCATTTCCAGCTCATTTTCCATGACTGGGCTTGATTTTTGACAATATCCCTGATTTTTCCCGGTAATTAAAATTTCCCTAACAATTCCCGGTTTTCCCGGTTGCTAGACACCCTGCTATACTTACAACATGATGCCATCACCTGACAGGAGAATGTGGCCCAGTCAGTCGAGGGCTCTTCACGCTCTCTAATTGCCATCATCAACCGATTTGATTTCTAGGGTGGCCATGCCGTGCAGCCATTGCACACCCAACAGGTAGGGACAACTGCGACATCATTTTCCGCCAAAAAATGGACAAGAGAGTACATTTCCTGAAATCAACAAATAAAGCCGTTATTACCTTAAAGACCAGTCATAAGTCACTAAAAATACAGTTTTCGAATTAAGCACAACCAATGTACAATAGTTGCAAACATAGATCACACTTGCAAGTGAAGTAGATAAAAAAACAGCATAGCCCTGGTTATCGAAAAAATAGTCAGAGTGCAGGCGAGCTGGTGTAAGTTGAACATGATTGTAAACCTGAGACTGGGGCAGAAAAGAGAACACAGCAGAAGGTAGAAAAAGGGGAGGCAACGTCTCAAACTCAGCTGCAAAGTTTATTTCGTACACGCCTTATATACCACAACTCCAACGCCGAATGGCGGTGGTTATGCTGGAATGTGACCCTTTGTGTGAGTGTTTCGCAGGAGAGGTCAAGGGAGATAAGAGAAGGTTTACCCAAATTTCATTGTCCTCTTGTCATATATCTTTTTTTTTTTTGTAGAGACAGCGTTGGAGTTGTGGTATATAAGGCGTGTACGAAATAAACTTTGCAGCTGAGTTTGAGACATTGCCTCCTCTTTTTCTACCTTCTGCTGTGTTCTCCTTTCTGCCCCAGTCTCAGGTTTACAATCATGTCCCTGGTTATATTGCAAGGAGACGCACTTCCACCTGATGTCCTGCACACTCCCCACTGAATACTGCATGGAGAGCCCTGTAGCTCTAAAAATTCCTAGCTCTGATGATGGCAGCTTTGAAGTATAAAGGTTGCCGAGATTTCGGAAAAACTGTCCGCAGATGCTACAGTTCCCATCTGACTCAATGAAGTTTCTAACAACAGCAATGTTGCCATACTTCAGTTGAACACAGTTGTCGGACGCCTTCAGAGAGAAATGTGCTCCGTCTAAAACAAGCTCACTGCACTGGGTTTTCTTGAAGCTTGGCGGCTCAGGTTGTTGCTTGAGCAGAGCACACTTCTGCTGCACAGAACTTGACACGGTGGTGGAATTCACTTCTGAGTGCCTCTTGATAACCTGCTGCAGCGCCAAGGAAGGACCCCTCACCAACTTCTTGAGCTTCCCAAGGAAGTTCTCAAAGGGAAAGGCCGAGAAGGTGTTGACAGGGCCGAACCGTCGAACGTCTTGTCAGGTGGATCAGGGAGTGCATGTTGTAAACATAAACCCCCTCATACAAGGTACCAGCTCCAGAAACAAACTCTCTCAAGAGAGATTCTGCAAGATCACAGTGTGTCAAAGAAAATTTGGGGCTGGCTAGGATGGTCATAACACAGCTCAGCTTTATGAAGTGTCCATAAAAGCGCTTTTCCAAATGGTTTCTAAGGACCACTGGCCCGGGGGAACTGATAAGGGGATAAAGGGAAGGGGGTTTTGAAGGCCGGGGATTTTGAAGAGGGGGAGGTAACGCGGGGAATTCGCAGCGGGGATTTTGACACAGGTGTTCTGAGATTAGGTTATTTCGTGCACCACTCGTATCACTCGACTCAGATTCACACTCGGAAGCTCGTTGGTATTCAAACTCTCCGGAAAAACTTGCATGTGCTGCCACGGCCTGTTGTACAGGTGCAAGAGGGTATGCTTCCTCAGTGTCCACAGACTCCTCACTGCTCGTACCGCAACTTTCAAGTTCCTTGCGAACACTTTCGGCTACTCTACGTCTTTTTTGGCGATCGGATAGCTCTGATAACGAATGCTTCGCCCGCTCCATTGTTCAGCACAAGTAGTAACAACAACGAAAATGAAACATACCTTTGTTTACGTTTCCTCCACGCCGAGAGATCGGCAGAGCGGTCCCGGCGGTCCGATGAAACAGGCCTTGACGGTCCGTTGACATACGGTCACGTGCAGTGTTGCCAGATGGTCCAAACAAAAAACCGCCAAACGGCTGGGAGGTATAGCCCAAATATAGCCAAAGCCATAAAATAAATATAGCCCAAAATAGCCAAGACTAAAAACAACGATTTTTAAGCCTTTTATTGACAATTTTTCATACGAGCAAAAAACAACACGTTAAATTCTCTTTTTCAACCCTCAGATGCGCCACTTTTTGTGTACTAGGTCCCTACCAGGTCCCCTGATATATATATAAAAAAAAAGCTTCAGAAGGATGAAAATTTGTGAAACAATTACCCATCCTTCGTAGGTTTTCAGAAATAGAAAACATACATGGACAGCTGTATTGTGAAGCCCGGGAGATATAATCATACAGTAAAAGAACATAATGTAGAAGCAGAACAGGCAGAACTGGGAGTTTTAAACTAGCACCCCCTATATCTAAGGTTCTTACAAATAACCCACCCGTCTATTTTTCTTTGTGTAGAATATGAGCGTCCCCCGTTCCGGTTCAAGCTATTTTTGATTGTGTTTCTTTTCTTAAAGTTGGCGATGCCTAAGAATTTTTGCAATGGGCACCAAAGCTGCGTTTGGAGAGTCCAGTCTACGTCCGGGTAGAAGAAGCGCTACCGGACCTGTAAAAACAGTGCAATTTGTTTCTTTGATTTGCTTCACTGCGCTGTGGGTAGACCGCTTGAACTCTGCTAGCACTGTTTCTCTGTGCATTGTGAAAACCCCGAAGTTTGTAGAAGTTTGAAGCCATTCTCCTTCCTCTCTCTCCTCTCGACTAGCCAAAAGAGAAACAATTTTTTTTCGAAACAGACTAGAAGTTTGAAATTAACTAGTCGAACCTCAAAGTTCGACGTCGAACCTGAGATTCGACAAGAGTTCGCCGCACCCTTAGAAATAGCCCAAAAATAGCCACATAGCCAAAGGCGAAATTTTGACGCCAACTAGAAAAAAATGTAGCCCAATTTGGCTATATATAGCCCAATCTGGCAACACTAGTCACGTGGTCAACCTGGCTTCGACCTTGCTTGGCTTGAGCTACTTGCACTCTTGGCATCTTGGCTTGTCAACAGTGTGCGTAAACGAGTAAACGACTAAACATGAAGTTTCAAGTAGGAATAAACTGTGGAAATTTATATGACAGTACTAAAATAAGTTTTTTTTAAGAGTTATAAAACATTACATTGATTGGAGAAATTGGAAATTGGTCTAAGCCGTACAGCCATAACCGTAATGCCGTACTAGTGTGCAATTATGGCGGACGATGGCGATCTTGAACGTCTTGCAGTGATCAGTGGATGACCTCGACCGTAATATCGGTATTGATAGTGAACTGTTAACATCGAAACGGTAGTACCGTAGCTATGCGACTGTGCTGTGCCATTGTGATGTGTCCAGATAACAAATGTAGGCAAAGAGTGGTCCACGCAGAGCGAGCTTCGAAGCCTCAAGCTCAAATATGTTCTCGTGTCGACGGCTCTTTGGCGAGAAGTGAACGGGGGCTAACAATGTGTGTGCGATTATACTCGTTTCATTATAATTAGGGTCCATATTAGATGAGCGAATGACGCTTTAGCAAACAGCGGCATTTGAGCGAATCGACGTTTTAGCAAAGAGTAAAGCTATACGCACTCCGGAGTGCGCTAAATGGCTATACGCACTCCTCCGAGAGATCATGCCGCTCGGGCCACCCTTTTCGAACGGCGCGTGAATCACTGGGGCGCTCGTTAACACAGCCCCCCGCCTGCGTTCACGCCGCTTCGCGGCGACAGTATCGGCTGCTAATTACAAAGCGTAACCAGTACACGCCCGCGGCGTCCAGCCGGCAATCCAAGCCCCGCTGTCCCCGATCGCACCTCCGGAAAGGGAGTCCGATACCATTTTGTTCTGCGAAGTTTCTCGACAACATTCGATTTTTTTTATTTTTTTTTTTATTGTTCATCGCAGAAAAGGAAATGTCGTAAATATCGCCAAATGTCTCGACAAAACAAAATGTTCGAAGAAAAAAAAAAAAAAAAAAAAGTAGGCCCACCACGGATTGAATTCGCGTCTACGTGCGTATGAGGCGGACACCCTAACCCCTATGCCATGGCACCGCTTAGGAAACTCGTTGTGTCCACTCTTTTTATACGAGAAAAGCGGAGTGCGTATAGCCATTTCCGTCCGAAGCGCACTCCGGAGTGCGTATAGCTTTACTCTTTAGCGAATAACGGGGGCGCGCGTTAACCCATCTGCCGCGCAGCGAGTCTGCGGCGGCTCATTACAAAAATGTGAACCCACTTGGCCCACCCGAAAACGCCGCTTCGCAGCGCCCAAATTTTCGCTAAAGTGTCATTCGGTGAAACGTGGACATTCGCTAACACGTCACTCGATAAAGTGAGTGCCTCCCCCCTTGGGGCCCTTCATTTTGAGTGGTCGGCGGAGTGCGTCCTTGTATCCGTGGCCCTTGACGCTAAATCTCCTTCCTACCTGCCCCCCCCCCCCCCCCCCCCTCTCACTCACTTTTCTTTAATCTCACCCCATTCCCGTCCCATCTCTCCTATGTTGCCTTTTCTAACCTTTCACTCCTCATTTCCTCGCATGATTTAATGTTTGTGGCCCCCCCTTCCCCACCTTCATAGGATTATATGTTCGTTGCCTTTGACCTTTGATCTCGACTTCGGACCCTTGACTGCTCCTCCTCGCCATCTCCCCTTCTATCTCCTCGGTGTCCTTATTCCTCCCTCCCCTCTTCCTCTACTCTCTTGTCCACCTTCCTCTTCCCGCTACCCATCCTACTCATCTTTCCTCCCCTCTTCCCCCTTCTCTCTCGTTGGAGGTATTCTATGTTCATGGCCTTTGACCTTTTCTTTTTGGTGGCAGCTGCATATGGCTCTTCATTTTGAGTGGTCGGGAGGTGTGATCTTGTGTCCATGCAACCGAGGCCTATGACCTGCGATGTTTTACGTCTTACCTGGCCCCACCCCGTCCCATCTCCTCATTCCCCATTGGTCTCATATTCCCTCTGTGTGCTCTTCCTCGCCTCTTTCCTCTCTCCTCCGTCTGATCTTGCTCCTCCCTGCCCCACTTCTCTTCATCTTTCTCTTCA